ATTGGTTATCAGTAAAATTAAGACAATATATTGTTTATCAAGTAAAATTAAGACAATATATTGTTTATCAGTAAAATTAAGACAATATATTGTTTATCAGTAAAATTAAGACAATATATTGTTTATCAGTAAAATTAAGACAACATATTGTTTATCAGTAAAATTAAGACAATATATTGTTTATCAGTAAAATTAAGACAACATATTGTTTATCAGTAAAATTAAGACAACATATTTCTAGTTACGTAACACATGCTATCTACTTATGTAACACAAGCTATCTAGTTACATAACACAAGCTATCTACTTATGTAACACCCGCTATCTAGTTATGTAACACATGCTATCTAGTTACGTAACACGGAGAAGAAAGAGTGTATAAACAATTTAGTCCTTCATATTTTATGTTAGCGTTCCTTATTCATACAAGTCCTAGACGATTGTGACAGATTTGTAACAATTTACTATCTAAAAACTTAAGTTTTAATTACTTGTGGTCAGCAAGACATAAATATTTCAAAATCAGACAATTTTTTTTCCAGAAAAGTATTAAAAAACGACAAATGCAAGCCTGTGTAATTAAAATCACGAGTGTAACTGTATATACGTAACTGCAAGCAGAGTTCTTTAGTGTTATAACGTACCAGGTGGTCTCTTCTTGGCTCATTCCTTTAATAAAGTAATCTTTCTCTGGTGCTGTTATCGTAAGAGAAAAGGGATGTCCCGTAGCAGCTTCAGCATTGGTGACTTCTATAACTTTATTCATGTCAATCACTGCTTGCGGTACTGTGTCGGGCTGGAATAAAGTAATACCTTATATCTAAATCAACAAACTTTAGTTAACAGAAAGTTTTCTGTATTTCAGGAGTCTAAAAAAGGTTACTTTGTAAAACAAAATATTTGAAAAATCACGATACTTGTACTACATGATTGCAATAAATATCAATTAAATTATTTTAATGTTTCAAGTTTTTTATCACTTTCTAGCACCAATTGTCAACTCTTAAGTTACTGGTTACTATTTTATATAACATTCAAGTTACAATATGGATTGTAGAAGAAAATAACAGAACAAAACAACACGCATATTATAATATAAAAAATGTATGCAAATACAATTCATATGTAAATAAAGATAATGATAAACTGTAGGAGTAATTTAGGCCTAATAATTTAGGCCTAATAGATGAATATCTCTCCCTCTCAATCAGGACATTTGTTAAAACCAGAATACAGATATAAACCACACGACAGCATGTCTTTGAGAAATCTGTAAAATATCTGGCCTTAACTTACAAACATTTTGATTGTGGTTTATTGTCTACTTATAAATACAATAACAACACAAACATACACTCTTCAATACATCCAGTTCTATGTTACGTTACATCTGGACATCTATATTATTGTTAATATAAAACTATATCGCAGTGCTTAAACTCAGTTTGTTCAATCTAAATCAACTCCTTTTATTTATATTTCTACTCAATTCTGAGGAGAACAATTTGACAAGATTAAGTTCCGATAATTACCTTGAGAGACATCTGGTCACTTTTTAATTTCTTAGGGAATAAAAGGTACCGGATCTCTTTTGGTGTGTAGGAAAGGAATTTGGGGTTTAGAAGATAATAATTTAAGTGTTATTGAATAAAGATGGAGAGAAGTAATGTCGTTAACTGTTTCAGTCAAATAAATATCAATTCATAATACAACTAAAATTAATTACGGCATTTCTGAATTTAGATTAAATAAACAACAACATTTAAAACACATTCCAGATCTCAGTGCAAGAAAGTTATGTGAGGAAAAGAAAAGTATAATAAGTATAATATACCTTTGGTAGCAAAACAATGACACGATGGAGATCATTATTTTTTGAACTTATAATGATAATTACACGATTGAGGTAATTGTTTTTTGAACTTATAATGACAATTACACGATTGAGGTAATTGTTTTTTGAACTTATAATGACAATTACACGATTGAGGTCATTGTTTTTTGAACTTATAATGATAATTACACGATTGAGGTCATTATTTTTTGAACTTATAATGATAATTACATGATGGAGATCATTATTTTTTTGAACTTATAATGATAATTACACGATTGAGGTAATTGTTTTTTGAACTTATAATGACAATTACACGATTGAGGTCATTGTTTTTTGAACTAATAATGACAATTACATGATTGAGGTCATTGTGTTTTGAACTTATTAACAATAACTACACGATTGAGGTCATTGTTTTTTGAACTTATAATGACAATTACATGATTGAGGTCATTGTTTTTTGAACTTATAATGACAATTACATGATTGAGGTCATTGTTTTTTGAACTTATAATAATAATTACATGATTGAGATAATTATTCTTTCAACTTATAATGACAATTACATGATTGAGGTCATTGTTTTTTGAACTTATAATGACAATTACATGATTGAGGTCATTATTTTTTGAACATATAATGATAATTACACGATTGAGGTCATTGTTTTTTGAACTTATTAACGATAACTACAAGATTGAGGTCATTGTTTTTTGAACTTATTAATGATAATAGAAACAATTAATAGAATGACTACAAAACAACTAACCTTACGATATAAACAAAAATACTACAAGGGTTTTTGCTGTGTACAAATCAGAAAAGTTAAGATAAAGCACAGAAAGAATAAACGCTCATACAATTTAGATTAAACCGTTGAAAATGTTACACTTACATGTTCATCTACAGAAAATGTCAGCTCTCCATCATCATACAGAACAAACCAGCGGCGCTGCCATCGCTACCAAGAAACAATCAAACAACACGTTTATTATTCTTATAATGAAATTACAGACAATATTCTAACACAAGTGTTATTTCTGTAAATTTATTGTACATGGAAAGACAATCTGTTGAAAATACTTTTCCTGCATGGCTTTCTTTGTGCTTGGTATTCAGCTGCTTGACATAATTGTACGTTTCAGGAATTTTCCAATAGAAAATTTAATTAAATAAGCAGTTTTATTTTTCAGCTTTTGATACAGATACCTGCTTTTATTTTTGTGAATTCAAAGTTTAACTTAAACAAGTACATTTCAAGTTAAAACATTACAGATCATGCTAATTTATGACAAACTTTACGAGATAAATTATTTTAGAAGGACATTCTATTCACATTTTTTATGTCTTTTTTGACGGCAGTACCACTTTGTTGCACTTAACGTTTCATCGTTTTTTTAACTTTCAAGTTGGGTTAAGATGAAACAAATTACTTTTGATGGTTTGCCAACACTTCCAACGAAACTAGGCTTGAAAATGAATCAAGAAAGAATAGGCATGGATATTTGACACTTAAAATTTAAGCTTAAATGTGTAGGTGGGGCAACATGGCAATTAACTGCATGTTTGGCAAGAAAAGCCACATGATACTATACTTCCTACACACGTGACTGCACAATGCCACAATTTCTTTTGCTTTTTCAATTTACTCAAAGAATTTTCAGTTCCAGTTCTACAGCTTCCTGTGAAAGCTTAGACAAACCCTTATAATCATCCAACGACCGAGGGATGAAAATATTACTAAGAGCTTTTCTCTGCCAAGAAAACAAGTTTTCAAATTCCCTTCAATAAATTATTTTATTATCACGTGCAGTTCTCAAGATAAACCAGTTTTATTAAAATCATCCAAAATTAATGAAGCTACAGAGGGGATATTACGCTGATTCTAGTTCAGAATTCTAATAACCACAAATTCTGTCTCGAAGATGTTACGAAATCCTTGGCTGTAGTTATTCAAAGTTTGAGTATTCTGCTAACAACAAGTTCAAATGCAAATTATAACCAAGTCCTACACCACCATATGAGGTCAGGTTTTGTCTAAAGTTTGAGTATTCTGCTAACAACAAGTTCAAATGCAAATTATAACCAAGTCCTACACCATATGAGGTCAGGTCAGGTCAGTTTTGCCTGACAGTACGAACCATACCAGATTTGCCAATGTATGTTAATCAAGTTTTCTTTTAGAAAAAGGCTTACTTTCATTTTGTTTCAGTATGATGAAGCAAATAAAAACACTTAGAAGCTAAACCAAGAAAAGTTACTGCTTATTTCCATTGTCGACACACTATATTATATTTCACACAATATTTTACACAATATTTCACACTATATTTTACACAATATTTCACACTATGTTTTACAAAATATTTCCCACTAGATTTCACACAATATTTTACAAAATATTTCACACTAGATTTCACACAATATTTTACACTATATTCCACACAATATTTTACACAATATTTCAAACTATATTTTACACAATATTTCACACTATATTCCACACAATATTTTACACTATATTCCACACAATATTTTACACTATGTTCCACACAATATTTTACACTATGTTCCACACAATATTTTACACTATGTTCCACACAATATTTTACACTATATTTCACATTAGAAATGAATAATTAAGACAATACAATTGTCTTATTAATAGGATTTTACACAGAAGAAAATGTAATGTCACAAATCTAGATTCACCCTACAAATACTGATACCAAAAACACACACAAAAACAATTTTTCATTTGGGATGGGCTGAGTATGAATAAGTTATAATGTTTCTAAGAATTGCCTTGAGAGAAAATTTGAAATCCCCCACTTGAAGTTCTGGACTTCACAATGCTGACTCTAAGTAGGCTAGAGATAACAACTTACCCAGAATTCTTACGTTTCAAGTACTCACTGTTAAATAATAGCTTTACAAAATAGAATAACATCAGAGCAATGACTAGCATATATTCTAAAAACAAATAAACTCCTCTAACCAATTGTATTTGAAGGGGAAATATTTTTCTTTGTCGGTATATAAAAAAAACAACAATGAAAGAATCAACCAATTGAATAAGTTCTTTTTTCCTTTTACATTTGATCTTATTTATTTGGGTATCTTAACAATAGCCTATAAATTATACCACATGCCACTTTAACATGTGATAAGGAAATGACCTCTTTTGAACATCACACACACACGTATCAGAGGGTCAGAATTCTTATATTAATATTCAAATAAGTTATTCAACATCTGTATGTAATGGCTACATTATCCTTCAAAATAAACACTTCCTAACCATAACTAAATATTATTATAATACATTAAAACTTTACAATAAGATAATTATATCTGTTCAGTGACATCGGTTACAATCACTGGATATTTCTATCAGATGTTTCTGTGTGTGTAGGGCACGTGGAAGACTTTTACGGATTTATTTTAAGAATAAAAATGTCAGTAGCCATTCTATAAATTTTCCCTTATAGTTATGAATTAAACAATATATTGTCTTAATTTTACTGATAAACAATATGTTGTCTTAATTTTACTGATAAACAATATATTGTCTTAATTTTACTTGATAAACAATATATTGTCTTAATTTTACTTGATAAACTACCAAGTGTTACATAAGTAGATAGCTTGTGTTACGTAACTAGATAGCTTGTGTTACATAAGTAGATAGCATGTGTTACGAGTCAATTAATGAGAACACTACACACTTATACTTGTTTACAAAGTTACTTCTTACACACCTTGGTTGTTAGAGAGTCAATGATGGAGAACAGTAGACACTTATACTTGTTTACAAAGTTACTTCTAACACACCTTGGTTGTTAGAGAGTCAATGATGGAGAACAGTACACACTTATACTTGTTTATAAAGCTACTTCTTACACACCTTGGTTGTCAGAGAGTCAATGATGGAGAACAGTACACACTTATACTTGTTTACAAAGCTACTTCTTACACACCTTGGTTGTTAGAGAGTCGTTGATGAAGAACAGTACACACTTATACTTGTTTACAAAGCTACTTCTTACACACCTTGGTTGTTAGAGAGTCAATGATGGAGAACAGTACACACTTATACTTGTTTATAAAGCTACTTCTTACACACCTTGGTTGTCAGAGAGTCAATGATGGAGAACAGTACACACTTATACTTGTTTATAAAGTTACGTCTTACACACCTTGGTTGTTAGAGAGTCGTTGATGAAGAACAGGTGAGAAATCTTCCTGCTTTAACTTTGTTAAAGACTCAAAGGCTCTACTTTTTGGTACATCAGACATCAGAAGGTACAGAGGGTTGCTGTGACAGTTTGCTTCTCCTGTTCCATTACAAGGTTGTTCCGTGTCCACTTGGCTACTATCCCTTGATAGTGTCACACCATTCTGCCACATACTTCCTTCTGCAGTATCGTCATATTCAGATCTATCCAACAGAGGTAGTACGAAATAAATACCTCTAGTAGAAACAATGACTTATTTTATTCCTCATGTCACTAAACGTTGTCCACCCCCCAGTGAAGAAGTGAAACGAATTAGCAGTTTTGTTTTAATGATAAGTTCTATTATACTTATAGCTGTTCATAATCACAAGTAACTTTTCATTAGTGATGATGTACCTTATAAACACTGTATCATCATCCAGCATGTGTTTACATATACCAATAAGATGTAATATTTATAAACACCACATCATCATTCTGAACGAGGCTAAGAAAACATACACTGTTTCCATATACGAATAACGTGTAAAATAAAACTACTAGATGGCTTTAATCAGATTTTGGGAGATAAAGAAAAGAGCATTGTTATCTACAGGAAACTGTATGTTTCAGCACAGAGCAAGCCTGAAGGCAAGGCAATCGAGGTAGCTACCTAGGGCTCAGCAGTGGGTAGGCATATCTCACTAACTACTATATCATATACTAAACATCCACAAAGAAAACAACAAAGACACCCACTATTAGTGGCTTATTTAATAAAATATCACTTTCAGGTTTCTGAACAAACAAGTTAGTATATATATCATTCAAATTTCAATATTTTGACTTTATATTTTACATAAATCATGTATTTGACAAGATGTTGCACATACACATAAATATCAGATATATTTACAAAATTCCAGTTTTGTTTACACTTTCAGAAATGGACTTTCAATTCACTAAGTTAAAAACAACAACATAAAATGATAAAAAAAATACTTACTTGTTTTTTATTGTAGTTTTTATTCTCTCTGTATTCCCTGAATCAAAGTCTTAAAAATTGAAACAAAGTTCTTAGTTATCGATAAAGCAAATATTTAAAACAGAAAATAAAATTATTTTAATAATATATATAACAGTCCGGATATTTAAAACAAGGATTATAATTCTTTTAATGTTATATATATAACAGTCCAAATCTTTTAAAACAAGAATTATAATTATTTTAATGTTATAACCATAGTCCAGATTTTTACAAACAGAGGCTGCAGTTATTTTGCTAGTCTATGTAGTAGTTCACATCTTAAAAACAATAATTTCAATTATTTTAATGTTCTATCTATTAGTCCAGGCTTTCAAAACAGATATTTAGATTATTTGTCTGTTCTCTATATAGTAATTCAAATCTATGAAAGAGATTACCATTATTACAGTAGAAACTCGACATTAAGGGCACCCTTCCGACCGTGTCCAAATGACCTCTATAGCAAGGTGCCCTTAATATCAAAAGTGAGCCACACAAAGATGGATTCCATATTGACCACACTAAGTTTCTGAATTTTAAGGCCCCCCATTTTGTTTGGTGTATATACTGAAAGCCATGTTTGTTACATGTATGTAAGCAGTTTTTGTGTATACTGTAAAAATGTTAAAGAAATGGAACAAAGAAATATACGTTTTTAAATTTATTTCTATTCCATAGGTATGTAAAAATGTTATTATACATTTGTACATCACACACATTAGATCATTAATACAAATACGTGTATAACAAACTTATAATCTTATTTTTTACGTCACTTGTTATGTGTTTAATTTGTTAAAATGTCTTTAATATATGATTGTTTGTCGCATTTACACTGGTGGTGTTACAATTGACCCTCGTGACAGGGTCTAAAATGTGGAATTTATCAGCTCAAGTAACCTACAGTGTTTACTACAATAATTCCCCAGAGTAATAAGATTGCACTTTGAATCTGTGAAAACGTTTATTACAGTATATGGTTCGGGGTCGATCCAATAAACATCGCAAATGTTTGAATATTAGTTATCCTTATGGGATGTTTGGAATTTAGAGGTATACCATAAAGGCCTACAAAGATATATGTGCACATAGTTATAATATCCTATTTCTCTTTCAGTAAACTTATTCATCAACCAATTGATACTCTTTATTTATAAATGCTTCAAATTTAGTTATTTTTATTACGACATAGAAGAATAAATAAAAAATACTTCAAAAAACAAAGATTTTGAGTACTTACAGTGTTATAAGTATTAGTAAAGTTATTTAATAAAATTTTGTAAACAACTCTTTTAAACGGTTATGACGTGTACTTTAACCTGCCTGCAGCAAAAGGGTTAACTGTCCGTTTTATCAAGTGTCCGTACAGAGAACAAGACTAAAGACACTGCTTTTAATCCAGAATATCGAGGTGTCCATTAATACAAGATTTATTTTGTTTACAAATAGTAGAAAAAAGACTGAAAAGGTCTGCCCTTAATGGTGTGATGCCCATTAATCAGGGTTCTACTGTATTAGTCCAGATTTTAAAAGCAAAGATAATAATTATTTGACTGTTCTGCATTGTTGCCTAGATATTTAAAATGGAGATATTACAATTATTTCACTGCTCTATACAGTAGTCCAGACGTTTAAAACAAGGATTAAAATTCTTTGATTGTTGTGTACTGTAATAAATTTGGCATTCTCCCATGAATCCCAGTACATTAAACTAGAAAATTCAGTAACATGACGTTCTCACCTTGTCTGGCCGTTAATACAGATGTCTGGTTCTGGTTTAGTAGGTTTTTGTAGCTCACAAGTTTTCCCACAGATGGACAAACATAGTTTGGTTTTTTCAAAACATCGGACCTCCTTCCATGTTGTAAAACCTTCTCCTTGTTGTTTGCACTTTGGGACTGTGTCACCTGACATGTTTCTGACTGTGACGGTAACGGACAGTTTGAGGAACTCTGATCTGCAAGGTTTGGTTGTGATCTAACAGATTTCTCCAATGATGTTCGTGAGCAACTAAGAACCTTGGCTGGTGGTGTGACAGGTTGGAAAGAGTCTGTTAGTGGAGACTTTGTCTGCTTTATTAAGGATGTTTGAGATAATTGAACAGGGACAACAGTTTTAACTGAAGGACCTTTACTTAGTAGCTGTGTAAGAGGGGTAACTGTCAGTTTTTGTGACTGAGTAAATTGCTTTGTGTGTGACAAAGCAGGAGAAGGTGTTTTAGAGTGTGCTGACTGGTGAGTATTGTGTGGCTGTGAAACATTATTAGTAGACACTGCACGACTGTGACCAGGTTGGCCACCAGGTGTGGCAGGGCTGGCATTTTTGGTGGGAAAGCTCTTAAGACAATTGTGAGTTGATATGGTTGTCAAGGCTCGGCTGGATTGCTGAAAAAAAAATTGGACACATTCCTGTAAATTTTTGCAGGTATTTACAATCTTCTCTAGATATATCACATCCTATATATATATATCTCTTATAAATATCCAAATGTTACATTTGTATGTGTTGTCTCACATATACAATATGTGCTTGAATGAAAACAAATACAATATGATATTCTAATATATATTACAATAATTAATATTAAATATTTAAGTGAAAATAGACTCGAAAAACAGTTTTTTTTCACTTGTTGGCTTTTTCATTTAAATATTTAATATTAATTATTACGATATAATAAAATCACTATTTCATGGTTTCCTAACAGAATTTAACAAATAAATGTAAGTCTGTGACAGACTTCATAAGATTTGGTGTTTGTATCTATCATAACGTAGTATGGTGATCACTCTTATGGTAGAAAGATTCATAAATGACAGAGACAGCTTGTACTGTTAGATAGTTCAATGGTAGAGCATTGGCCTAGTTAGCTAGAGGTCCAAGGTTCATATCCCAGATCCAAGACTCGTTTCAGTACCAGTCTCTTTTCACTTATTGACTTTTTCACTTAAATATTTAATATTAATTATTATGAGGTAATAATATTACTCTTTCATGGCTTCTTAACAGTATTTGAATGTGTTTTACCCCAGCATCGAGACAGTATAAAAACAAAACACACACAGGTTTGTTGTATTTCTAAGATATTATTAATTTATGTATGTCTACACCCAAAGGAAATATTCTATATCATGGATTAATTTTAAACAAAGAAGTTAACTCATTATTAAAACAAGGCTAAGACATCTCTGTTTTAGGGTAGTATACTGGTTTGTATAAAATCAATGTATATATACCAGGGTTCAGGGTTATCCATCTACTAAACAGTCATAGATTTTATAGGTTATAACGATGGCTATATCTACGTAAAACTGATCCAGGTTCCTCCTTAGTGAATAGAATCAGATTTTTAAAGTAGTACTGGTGGTTTCTTAAACTTAAATATGGGACAATATTTTTCAATGATTCTGACAAACCTGATAGAGTTATGTAGGATTTAGGAAAGAACCAATTCGTGTCAAAATAAATGTCTTAATCACTGTAAGGGCTTTACTGTTGATCCCCCACCAACAACAACTGTTCAGTTTACTTTAACAAGTATTGTACTCTGATAGAAAAATCAAAATGTGAATACCTGAGATGCTAATGATGTTTCAACTGAACTGGATACGGGAGGAAAACGTTTACTTTTTCCTCGCACAGTGCTCCTCGCAATGGTGGAGAGTACATTAAACCAGCTGTTTCAAACACAAAATGGATGGAAGTTTAGTATTTTGTTTAGAAACACTTGCTACCTAGTTATGTAACACTTGCTATCTAGTTATGTAACACAGTGCTCCTGGCAATGGTGGAGAGTACATTAAACCAGCTGTTCCAAACACAAAATGGATGGAAGTTTAGTACTTTGTTTAGAAACACTTGCTATCTACTTATGTAACACATGCTATCTAGTTATGTAACACATGCTATCTAGTTATGTAACACAGTGCTATCTAGTTATGTAACACTTGCTATCTAGTTACGTAACACTTGGTATCTAGTTACGTAACACATGCTATCTACTTATGTAACACATGCTATCTAGTTATGTAACACATGCTATCTAGTTATGTAACACAGTGCTATCTAGTTATGTAACACTTGCTATCTAGTTACGTAACACTTGGTATCTAGTTACGTAACACATGCTATCTACTTATGTAACACAAGCTATCTACTTATGTAACACTTGGTATCTAGTTACGTAACACATGCTATCTACTTATGAAACACAAGCTATCTAGTTATGTAACACAAGCTATCTACTTATGTAACACTTGGTATCTAGTTACGTAACACATGCTATCTACTTATGTAACACAAGCTAACTAGTTATAACACACCTTGGTTGTTAGAGTCAATGACAGAGAACAGTACACACTTATACTTGTTTACAAAGTTACTTCTTACACACCTTGGTTGTTAGAGAGTCAATGATGGAGAACAGTACACACTTATACTTGTTTACAAAGTTACTTCTTGAGAACACACCTTGGTTGTTAAGAAGTAACTTTGT